GCACGGAATTTCTATCTTAGTTTGAATTACCAAGCTAGTGTCAACATAGGACTTCTATTCTGGTTCAAAATTACCAAGTTAGCATTAGATCATGATTTCCAAATTTCTGTTCAATTAGGACTTTCTTTTTGAAAAGTTTTAGTGGGATTCTATTATGGAGTGTTGTCATAGATTATGAAACTTTTTTATAGGAGTCATAAGGGTGTAAGCCTATATAAAGAGTAGCTAGAGAAAGGCTAAGACAATTTTTTGATATTGAATTTTCTTTTAATTATTCAATGAAGAATTCTTCCTGATAATTCGACTTCTATTCTTTTCTTTGAAGCTTTTGTCAATGTGGTTTGTTTCCGTATTGTGCCAGGTAGCCAAACTAGTTTCGGGCTCCTCAGATATTCATGCAAAAGCTCAATGCATCTTTTGACTATCAGATCTACCAAAAGATCTTCCTAAAAAGACTTATCAAACAACCCCTATATCAAGCGGGGAAAAGGAAGTCGATGAAGAAGAGGCAAGAGAAGCATAAATATCAAAAATTGCCTCCTTCGAGTCTCAGTTAAAAATCACCTTTGCCAAGCCAAAAGAAGAGGCTTCTTACACCCCAACCATAGAGACAAAGCTTCTACCATTTTCATCAAAGCACATAGGCATTTTGATACCCTCCCAGTTAGGATATAGTCAGATGAATCCCTTAAAATATAGGCAAATGCTGCATAGTTATTATTTGGGGAAAAGCTAGCGTCTACGTTCACCTTTAACCAACCCAAGGGAGAAGGGGACCAATTTCGCTCCTACTCATGGGAGGCTAGTGGATATAAGTCATATTGAGTGAAAATAGTCGATCTTACCTTTGAAAGGAATCTTAAGCATTTTGAGCCTTCCAAGTTTCCTAACAAGAAACCAAGAATGCCTAAAGCCAATATGGGGGCCAGGCCACTCCATGATCCTACATTAGGAGATAGAGGTGTAAATCGGGTCGGGCCGGCCGTGGCCTGGCTTGATTTTTGACCGGCTCCACCCGGCATGGAGGTTCGTGCCATGCTAGGCTGGGGGTTCGAAGCCCATGCCGTGCCATGCCACCTGCAGCCTGCAGCCTGCATGCCGACACGCCCACCCCCCCCCAAAGGGGCCTAACGGCTAGTTTCAGCTTTTTGGAAGCAATCATATTAGGGGGGTATTTGTGTGTTTTGCTTATGGGGGGTTGAAAAAATGACATAAATGCCCCCAATAGCTATATAACAGCTAGTTTATGGGGAACTTTGGGTAAAGTTATAAGTAACTTTGCAATAACCAAAATACCCCTCCCAACAACTAAATAACAGATAGTTTTTTGGGTATTTTGGGCAATTGAATTATGTTCAATTCCTATAAATAGCCCTATCCTCCACCATTCTCATCACACCAATTCAACAATCAACATTCAACAACTCTCCTATTAAGTTATTCTCTTAATCTCTTCAGTCTTTCCTCTTTCAGTATCTTTCAGTTTCTCATACATTCTCTGCCATCTAAGTGAACTCTGATAGTCTCATAGTCTGATTGGCTAATTGTTTGATTCTCCAAGTTAGCAATTTGGGAGGCGTGAAGTCTTGGATGTTGTCACGTTGAAAGGCTTTAACCGTTGAAATCAAGTTGGGATTCCAAACTGGTAATCAGGGATTACAGGGTAAGTCCAATTAAATTAATTTTATTTTTTTTTAGAATTTGAAAAAAATGGCTAGCTCTTCCCAAAACCCCAAGTTTAGTAGCCTGATTTGGAGAATATTTAAAATAGAGGATGTTGAGGGGAAGGGGAAAAGAGCAGTTTGCCAAAAATGTAGAAAAGACTTTAGCTATTGTAGCAAGGGTAGTACTGGCCATTTGACGAGACATTTTCTCACACATGAGAAGGAAGAAGAAATAACCCACAATTTAAATGAATTTTTGAAATAATGGAAAATAAATTTTAAAAATATTGGGAGAAGTCAGAAACTTGGAGAACATTTATTGTCGTCAATCCCGCCATGGCATGTGATCTGTGATCTACTAACCCCTCCGATGTCTACAGGCTATAGTTCCATTGGAGTCTTGTTTAGTTGTTTTAGTGCAGGACCTGCAGGTACCACACTATGACACTACCACTGTACCAGCCTATCAGGATTGGCTAGATGTAGCTATGAATCATGATGCAGAATATAGATTACAAGACAAAGGAGGGCATGATACTACAACCTACTACAGTACTGCATACACCGGATATTTAGTTTTTCACTTGAAGGAGATGATGAAAGTGTGTGTGAATGCTTTCATCATAACGTATATGTAAATTTTGTTTAAATTGTAAATTTTAACAAATAACCCACAATTTTTTATTTTTGTCAAATTATTATAAATTTTATTTTAATTTTATTTAATTTATTTGCTATTAATGTAATTTTGTATTTTCAATTTGTAACTATATAGTTTATATAGTCTATAATTCTATGTTGCATTTTTTATACTTTATTAATTTATTCCATTTTCATATTTCATTCATCCAACTATCCAAGTATGAAGTTTATGAAGTATCCAACCATTGTATATTTCATAATTTCAATATTTGTATAATTGTATGCTTTGTAATTTGTRTCATTATTMATTCAAATTTAWATGAAATAAAATTTTTAAATTCCTATTTGAATTGTTTTATACTTTTATTTATTTATTCTTTGGGTTACTGGGTAATCATAAATTTGTTATTAATTTATTATTCATTTCCTATCCTGATTCTTAAATCCTAATCCAATGATCCTGAATCCCTAATATGACATTTGATTTGGGAATAATCCATTCAGTGAGTCTATCCTAGTTCGGTCCAGGCCCAAGGCCCACCCCTGTGGCCCATCTTGACACCACCCAAGCCTACGGCATGGCCTGCAGCCTGGCTTGGCTCAGACCCGCGTGTCGGTACAGCACGGCACGGGCCCGATTGGGCCTGGGCCGTGGGCTGTGCGGGGCCGACCCCCTAAAATTCCACTAGGGAGGACGACACGACCCACTTTACACCTCTATTAGGAGATCAAAGAGCCAATTAGCAAGAATGCCTAAAGCCAATCTAGGGGCCAAGCCACTCCATGATCCTGGATTAGGAGATTAGAGAGCCAGTTAGCAAGAATGCCTAAAGCCAATATGGGGGCCAGGCCACTCGATGATCTTGGATTAGGAGACCAGAGATCAGATTAACAAGAGATTCATGAACTATCTCCCCAGTTCTAATGATCAAATTACTAGCAAGCCAAGTAGCTCTAGCAAAACTATATTTGAGCAAAACATGAATTACTGATTCTTTCTCCTCACCACATGAATCTGATGAACTCCAAGAGCATTGGAGATAATTCACCAAAGGAAATTTTTGATCTTTGGAGGAGTTGGAATAGACCAAACTTAAGTAAAAATTAAGGTATTTTAGACTGTATTTGGCATTCCTTATTTTAAGGGTTTATCTTCTTTTTACAATTAAAAATTCAATATCCATGGGGGCATTTCAACATAAAAAAGGTGATAAGTCCTTAAAATAAGGAATGCCAAATTCAACCTACTCCTTAAAAATTCAAGGGATAATTATAACTGACCCATATTAAAAATTAGATACGATGCCTTAATCAATTTTGTTTTCAATAATAATAATAATAATAATAATAATAATAATAATAATAATGATAATAATAATAATCTTATACCTTGAATCCAAATATGATATTGGAAAGGCATAATGTTGGGAGTGGTTAAAACTTTTCCTGTATTGTCTTCTTTTTATTTCAACACCACCAAGTTCACAATTAATTTTCAGGATGGCACTCCACGAATCTGACGTCCATTTTCTGACTATGAGAAAATATCTTAAAAATTTCTGATCAACTGGTACCATAAATGTGATAGCCAATATCATGTTTTCTCCGCATTATAGATTTTCCCCCCAAAAAGAAACAAGTTTAATTCAGAAAGTATGTGCCAAGTTGCTGATTGTTTCACCATTGGATGGGGATATGTGGTCATCAATTTTACAGATTGAATTCAGCTTCAGTCAGTGCAAGACCATACATTGGGAATATCTCCGTATTTATGTATTTTTTTTTATGAGAGATATTCCCAATACAAGTTTGGAAGAGGATATTTGAACGGTATTAACATTGACTTGCACCGACTGAAGCCAATTTTCATTATCTGATAATAACAATTCCTTGATCATGATGATGAGATTAGATCTATTTCTCACATAGGGCATCTCACTTGCACATCCTACCATGCATTGGAAATATCTCCCGTATTTATAAGTTATTATTCACGGGGGATATTCCTAATGCACGGTAGATGTGCATCTGAGGCGCCTAAGTGTGAAGAACTGATCCGTTCCGATTATGATGCCAACAAAGTCTATTGACTCTATTAGTGCTCCTCACACGGACTTAAGAGCATGTATCAGTCGCACGTCAGGACCATTTCCTGTACTTATAATATGGGACCCTTATAATATTCCAAATACACAGTGGAAGATGCTCTCAACACACAATCGGATGCGGCTGTTAGGTCGGTGTAAAACCTCTTAAAATACGGGCATCCAAGCGTACATCGGGAATATATCTAATACATGCAAGTTAATTGTTGGGGAGATATTCCCGATGTGCAGCGAGTTGCCGTTCTCTCAGATACAGTGTTATAGAAGGAGTTTTAGGTCTTTTTCGCGCAGAACAGAAGTGAGACATCTCAGCGACGGAAGGGGCGAGACTAGAGAAGCCGCAACTTGCACATTTATTTTATTTATTTCAAGTCGAATTTTCATTTTTCTTCCATTGGGGAAATAAAAAAAKAAATGGTTGTCTATGAGTACGTACTCATAAGTCATACGGCAGGAGGCTACGGAGAGGGGGGAAGAAAGAGAAGGAAAAATTGCAAAGAGAGCATAAAATGGCATTTAAAAACAGGCAGAAAATTCAGGTTAAGGACTTAAAAAAGGAAGGAGGAGGAGGTGGCACGGTGGGGGTGGGGGTGGGGGGTTACAATGATATAAAAACAGGGATGAGAGCAAACATTAGAGAGATGGGACTGCGAGGAACCACCGCAAATACAACATCAGAGACGACCAGAAGCAGGCCAAGAAGAAAAAAGAAGAAATTTTACCTTCACTTTTAAGGGTTCCTTGACCGGTCCTTCTTTTTTATTTTTCCTCTTTAATCTAATAAAATTTACGTTTACATAAATTTCACACTGATGATGATCGAACATGATTTATAGATCGGATTCCCTGATCGCAAGCTTCACTGGTGCGTGCGTCTTGTTCTTGTAATCGGATTATTCTACATCCAATTCCTTTTTTATCATTTTTTATTTTATTTTCTCTTTCTTTCTTCTCCTTCTCTTCATTCATGTGTTTCATTCACCTTTTTTTTCCCTTTATTAATTAATTTTTGGAGAAGAGGAGTTTGGTGGACTTAAGAATTTAGATTTCGCATTTTTGATATTTGCCGAGTCGCCTTTCTGAGTTTATGGATGTTTGGGTAGGTCGCGGTTAGGCTATTGCGGTTTTGGTGTGGTTTCGAGGTAGATGAGAAAATAAGGTTGGGCTTTTTGGTGAGTGTGTCCTTCTTTTGGGTGTTCTCTGTATTCGTTGATCGTTACAAGGAATCGGTTTGCGTTCTGATTTTTTCCCTTCCCGTTCTATGTTGCATTTGATGCTGAAATGTTGATTTATAATCTTTTTCAGATCGGTTGCTGGTTGGGCTGTATTATGTCTTTTTAACTCAGGCTTTGAATAGTTTATCTTTTCTGTTTCCATTTTTCTGAAACGAAAGAACTGGAGATAAACAGCTAAGAATTATAAAATATTTTTCGTTCTCTCGATGATCTTTATTAATGCATCAGAGCTGAACATTCGGTTTGTTTTTTTTTTTTTTTCTTTAATTTTTCACATGTATTAATTGCATTTCTTATAATATTTTTCGTAAAGATTTCTAATAAAAATGTGAATAGCTATATCAACTAATAATTTTCATTTTAAAAGTTCGGTTGCATTTTTTGTGCTTTTAATCATTGAATATGAATAGTGGTTCATATTGGTAAATTAGCTCTTCATATCTTACGAATGCCTTAGTTGTACAAAAAAATGATGAAATATGAAACTATGTCTTATGTTTCTTCATATCTGTAACTTAGAGGCCTTGCAATTTATTGATTTACTTTTTATTCTGCAAATATCATTTCAGGCTTGTTATTTGGTTTCTCGTGCAACCATGAATCAGCCGTGCATCAGTGCTTGCTGGTATGGAGGCCAGAAGCTCTGTTCTTGCAGTTCCTTTTGGATTTTAACTCTCTGCTCGGGTTTCTTCCCACGGTTTTATAAAGGAATGGTAATTGAAATCATGTCACCTTTAGTAGATAGATAGCGGATAGCAGATAGCGGGCAACTCTTACAGTAGGTTTGGGATTTGGTAGGATTTACTTATTTTGATTCAAATTGTGGCAGAGTAATAGGGAAGATGTTGATTGATCTTGTTATGTGGCGTTGATGGGGCTGGGATTCGCTCTTCATCCAATATTTGTTAAGAGGAGGGCTAGAATGGATAATCAACGAGAATAGGAAAGTTGTTTTAAAGATAGACGCATTAGATCTTGAGAGGATTAAATAGTTGTCACTGGCAAACTGGTTGAAAATCCTAGTTATGGGCTTACCTCAAGTTTCTTCCAGCAAAATTGCTGATGAAGTTTCCGCATCCCTAAGCACGTTTGTGCAACATTCACCTCGGTTTACTAGTCTGAGTAGTTGTGATCTTGATGGAATGCATGGAGGAAGCACAGTTAATAAGGTTTCGGTGGATTTCTCTTGCTCTTCTCTTGGAGATTTCCAGAGGAAGACCTCCCTGGAGCTGCCAAAAGGCCCAGATGGGATTTTTAAGCATAAAAGCACCATTGATGGTGCATCCAATGCTCATACGTTTATGGTTGGTGCAAAGGAAAGAATTGGTTGGTTCGGTCCTAAAATTGGACGGAATATTCATATTCCTGTCTCAAGGATTGTGGGGTTTGAATCTGGTAGTCCGAATTCTTCTCGTAATGGATTTGAAGGAAGTTCACCAGATCAGCTTCCTTCTGCTGGTACCTCAATTGGTAATGAAACAGAATCACATGGGTCGCTAGTGAGGAAACGATTGTTATCTCCTTTGAATGGCATGCTTTGTCCAAATCAATTTGATGGTGATCCTCTAGACATTGATGGGGGCAATGTTTCTCCTGCCCCTAGAGGCACATATAGTGTTTTGGGGGTACAAGATCATAAGAAAGCTAATATTAGCCACACTGATTATCAGAGTACCCCAGTTTGGTCTGTATCTAGTTGTTCAAAATGGAAGAATATGCTAGGTAGTGGTATTAGAACAAGCTCTACACTTTTCACAGATGGTCCTTTGCTTGAGAGCAATGAACCCCTCTCTCAAAGCCATTGCTTATCATCACCTGGACTTGATCCCAATGGGGAAGCAAGTAACATAAGAATTCGAACTGGGGCAATACCTATAGCTCCGAGGAGTGCAATCTCGCCTCCTCTTTCTTTGTCTCCTCTTGGTCCAAAATTTTCTGAAAGAATGAAAACTGCAGGAGTAGAAAATGATGGGAGGATGGAGATGCAAAGTAACTATTTGACCTTAAAGAATATCAAAAAGTCATTTGATGGATCTGGCCCTGGCATTTTGTTTGCAAAGGAAGAAGATGAGTTTAGAATGATGAGCAAGTCATTTCAAGACCGTGATATTTTGCAGAAAGATTTTGATCCATTTTCATGTGAAGGTACAACAGGTATGAATCAGCATTGGGGTCCTGATTCAGCCCCAACACCTCAATGCATCAAGTTGGTAAGGAGCTTGGGTGGACTTCCAGTCAGGAGGTCTTTGGTTGGTTCATTTGAAGAATCCTTATTGTCTGGTCGATTGTCATCTGGCAAAGTCAGTCAGGTTAATATCTATACTTGCAACTTAAGAGTTTGTATTATAACTGATTTTTAACCTGATATTTTCGCTTTCTATTTTATGGAGACCTCATGTTACTCTATACTTGCATCCCCCCTTCTGCAGAGAATTGATGGTTTTCTAGCTGTTATGAATGTTACTGGGGGAAACTTCTCACCTCCATCACAGAAACTCCCATTTGCGGTAACTAGTGTGGATGGAGATAGTTACTTACTGTACTATGCAACAATAGATCTTGCAGGACATTTTCCACCTAACAAATGCAGAGGCCCTAAAATGAAGAGGAGCCTTAGCATTGATGATTCACGAGCTGTCAAGAGCCGCCTGCGTATCCCTATGAAAGGGCGCATACAACTGGTACTAGGTTTCTTAGCCCTCAAATTTGGTTGTTCATCATGTAAGTTAGGTTCAATAGCTCTTTGATCTGGATTCCTATGAAAGAATATATTGAATTTTGTATCACTTACATTATGTTTTTTTGATCAGCGTATCATTTACATTATGTTGTATAAGTGCCATTGTCAAGCTGATGTGTCTGCTACTACCTGTACTTATTGTCATTTAAGATCTCTTGCTATATGTTTCTATAACCTCCTAGCCAACATGCTGGAGTGGTGCTGGGACTTCCTCCATTTTAGTTCAGCCATGGTTGAGAAATAACAGGTTATGGGTTTAACCAGAACACACATAGCCATGCTAGCTTCTAAGTGCCAGTGGTACACCACCCTTGTTTTCAGCTTTAGTGTCTAAATTTAACTTTTTTTTTTACCTATTGTCTAATTTTTCTGTTTATTTTTTATATAAGATTCTCCATCCATGGTTTACTGGGAAGTGCCAATGTGCCATCAGATATTATTGATTATGGGCACTACTTTGAGTCTTCTTACTTGTTACAGTACCTTTGACTTTCCAATTGAACTGTCAAAGTGGTGTTTATACTTGGTTTTCACTTTATTTGATCAGTGATCCAGACAACAGTTTGTAGAGTTCACAATCATATGCTGATAGATCTTTKTTGTTTTTATCTCATTCCTTTTTCTTGTGTGGTAATTCATAAGGCTATTTGTATACTTTGCCTAGAAGGTCCTAGATTGGCAGTAAGAGTCTCATTTTTTTTCCTTCACATTACACCACTTTTCTACTAAGAGCATCTGCTAGATGTTTATTTCTTCACTTTCATAACCTATATAGGTTTTGTAGGCTTGCTGATAGATCACAGTATTTATCTTTTTCCTTGAGCTTCTATAACCTAGACACAAGTCTTTCTTTGGGTGTTTAAACGATTCATTTTGTGTTAAAATCATTTAGACCTGCATACTAAATAGCGAATGGTTAACATATGTGCTCCCTATATTCATGTGTCACATGAATTCTGGTTAGAATGCTTTTACTGTAAAACATTTAGGCTCCATTTGTTTTCAGTGCAAATTCATTTASACTAGTATGAATTTATAAGAGTGTAAATTCTGGTGTATTTTACTTCAGGCTTTACATCACTTTGTTTGCATTGCAAATGAACAAAACAAATTAAAGCCCAAAAGAAAAAGTAAGCTTTCAATTTGCACCAGTAAAATGAAATTCCACTGCCAATGTAGCAACTGAAGGTTGCTGTGAGGATTTTCAGTGTTATTCAAGATACAATCCTTTCATTCTTGGGTTGCGCCATTGCACCTCTAAGATTTAGAGAAGGGCTTGAAAATTCTCTGAAATTATTCATTTAACTCGGTAAACATGTATTTCTTCTCTCATGTGTCTATTCTTATTGTGTTTTTGAATAAGTTCAATGCTGATAGGGTAATTGCCTAATAAATATCAGATTGAAAAATGGGGTTTTTGCTTGCTTCATCAAACACAAAAGAATCTTGTTTTTCCTTTATGGGACTTTCTAGTAGATCTGAATTAAGAAATAGCTTTCATCTACTGACATTCTAAATTGCTTATTTCAGGTTCTCAGCAATCCAGAAAAGACACCTCTACATACTTTCTTTTGCAATTATGATTTGAGTGATATGCCAGCAGGAACCAAGGTTTGTTGGACTAGAAATGTACTTAATTATCAATTTATTTTTAGGTTGGTAACTTGTGCAAAAAATTCTTCCTGTTTCTGGTGTTTTATTTTGATTTTTGGTATAATTAATATTGCAAGAAGACTTATCATATGTATCATGTATAGTTGTTCTTAATAATATCTTTTTCCCCTTTTTGGTGGTTCTCTTGCATATATTTTATTAGTTACTACTTATTGATGTATTACTGGTTAATTGGAATCAGACATTCTTGCGCCAAAAAGTAACTCTTGCTACTCCTGTTTCACCTTCAATCTCGGGGAAAGAAGGAAATAGAGATATTGACATGAAAAATGAGCCCAAGGCTACTACAGTCCCAGAGAGAAGTCATCCTGTACAGATTAGCAGGGAGTTTGCCAGTTCAAATGGAGTTAACATTGTACATACAATGAAACCTACAAGCCAGAATGCTGAAGTTATTGGGAATGAAGGTTCTAAATTTGTGGGTTGTGTATATACAAATGATGCTGAGCAGTATGACCTACCGAATCCATCCCAGAATAAGGGAGATACAAGTCCCCTGTTCTTTTCACCTGGGGACTGTCTTGAGCGGCCAAATGGTTTCAATCTTGTTGCTAGCCCAGAAAGTGAAAAATTTAATAGCAGTGAGAAGAAACATGGGGAGGATAACTCCCTAGTGGATACATGCCATGAAACTGACAGGAAATCTGTACATAATTCTTCAAGGGTCAATGAGAATACATCTGGTGCTGGTGTTCTACGTTATGCTCTTCATCTCCGTTTTCTATGCCCTTCTCCCAAGAAATGTTCAAGATCATTCCAAAGATGCAAATCTGATCCTTTATCTGCTCCCGAAACAAATGCATTTGACATTGAAGGGGAACGACGCTTTTACCTCTACAATGATTTGAGAGTTGTGTTCCCTCAACGCCATTCTGATGCTGATGAGGGCAAGGTATTGTGCTTCTTGAGCATTTTTAACCACACACACACGTGTATATATATATATATATATATATTTCTGTGGATTTTCTGTTCCACTTTTGGCTTGGGGTTTTTCTCTTTCCATTCACCTTACAAAATATTTAACCAAATATATAATTGTTTTACACCATACCTTTGGATATTGGCTTGTGAGTTTTTCTCTTTCCATTTTATGTTATATTTGATTCAAAGCAATGGAGATCTGTTCTTGAGGTAAATAGGCTGTTATTAGTTATTCATAGTTTTATTGTTTGAGAATTTGAATTTAAATATAGATGTTATAGATTTTAAGAATATATCTTATGGCCCTTGGGGATTTATTTTTGGATTTAACACGAGTAGACTTTGTTTTCCATTTTATGTTATATTTGATTCAAAACAATCAGGATTTGTTCTCAAGGTAAATGGGCTGTCCTTGGTTATTTGTAGTATTTATGGCTTGAAATTTGAGTTTCAATATAAATACTGTGGTTTAAGAATATAAATTTATAGTCTTTGGGAATTTGGCTTTAATGTGAAGACTCTGGCTTTAATGAATGCCATATTGTCATTTATGGTTCGGATCCAAATGGAAGGATCACATAAAATGTTTTTAACAAGTAGTTTCAGTCATGCAGAGAGTGATCATGGAATAAATATCAAGGATAGAGTGCATTCTGAATACGGGTTTAAGGTTGGGGAGAACATGGGGGTGTAGTCAAGAATTTCTAGGCCATTCAACCAATGCTGGTCCTGGCTAGCCTGGGTCTTGGGAGGGGTGGACTGGATTTGGGCCTACCCTCCTACATTTTTAGCATGAAGTGGCTGCTCTGAGATCCAGACTGCTTTCTCAGGTTTGTCAGCCTGGGGTTTAACCAGTACACCAAGCAATGGTTCTAGGTATAGTTTCTATTCTTGGAGGCGAAAATTAATCTTCAGATTCTGGAAAATAAACACTAAAGTTCAAGTTCAAGAATATTCAGATCAGGGAAGAATGATGATGTCCTAGAATTAATGGTTAGAGCTTTTAGGTACAAGGTTTAACTAGAAGGGAGTACAAGAGGTGGCAGAAGGGGTGGATGTTTTTGGGTTCCTTGATGAAGGGGATGATGGGAGAACCAATGTTTTGATTGGAGGATTGTTAATCTTGTTCTCCTTAAACGAGAACAAGAAATGAAAAGGATTCAAGAAGCCCTATTAAAGCAGAACTTCATGATATTCAAAATAAACTTTAATTGACCAATTTGGCCTGTTAGGCTGTGTTTGGTTTGAAAGAAAAGGAAGAGAAAGGCCAATTTGGCCCTACCTTTTCTCTCAAATCAAACACAGCATTAAATCTTAGCTTTCACTTTTTCTAGAAAAACTCTGAGTGCTAGGAAATTACTTAAAGAAATTTCTAATTGGAGTAAATACGTGTAAAGGCCATCACAAAGTAGCACCTTTTCAGTTCTTCCTTATATTATACGGTCATGGATAAGGACTACCTTTTAACCATGATGGAATAGGGAGTATAATGTGAGATCCATATGCATATGACCAGCTTTATTTCTAGGCAGGCCTTGCAAAATATTGTGAAGATTGTCATGCTACTAACATAGTATCCTTCAGGAGTTAAAAGGCTAGTACGTTGGAGCTTCCCCAACACTTTTGGAGATTCAAGACAAAAAAAAAAAAGCTATGAAATTGCATTTGTTCACTCTCTAGCAGAGTAGCAGAGTAATTCATATCCTTTTCATCTAGATGTTCATAGACGGAAGTTTTTAACTCTTCTAAGATATCTAGGGGTAGGTTTTTTTTTTTTGATCAATAACAGAAACTTTATTAATTAAGTGAAGATTTGTAAAGCTTTAGATACAATAAGGGGGAGATAAAATGTCTTAGCTCCCAATCAACAAAATACAATGAAAGGAGATTAAAATTAGCCCAAAAGATAGACTCCCTATTCACCCCTTGCTTGGCCAACCCATCTACAAATGAATTAGTGGTCCTCTTCACCCAGCTGTACTATATCTCAATGTCCCTACACAGCCATAAGAATTTTTTCTTTTCATTGTTATAGCTCCACAAACCACTGTCCTCTTTCTTCAACCAACTAATCACCACCTTTGAATCACATTCCAGGATCAAACGACTGATATTTAGTTCCTTTGCTCTTTGAATTCCATCCAGAGCTGCAAGGATCTCAGCCCTAAGTGAGTCTCCTTCTCCAATAGGGCCTGAGAACAAAGCAATAACAATCCCTTCCTCATTCCTGAATACTTCCCAATCCCAGAGGGCCCTGGATTCCTTAAACTACTGCCATCAAAATTCAATTTTATAAATCTAGAGGGAGGAGGGGACCATGAGGGACTAAGAGTCCTCTTACACCGAGTAGAGGTTGCTATCTCTTTCCAGTTTCTTAATAGGTCAGCCATAGGAAAGTCTGAAAACAGTTCCATAGATTTTAGCCAGTGGGCAGCCCTTAAAAGTATTAGGTCTAATAGGTCCAGAGTTCTTTCCTTATCTGAAAAAAGTTGTGAATTTCTTTCCTCCCACACTGACCAACACACGGCTGCCCTAATACTCCTCCACATCATCTTCCCTCGCTTCTTAAGCCATCTGAAAAACAAAGGGGAGAACAAACTTTGGACACTCTCGGGATGGATTCCAAGAACACCCAAAGCGGTAAAGTGCCCACTCCTATACAGTTTTAGTAACTTTACAAGAGACCATGAGGTGGTAACCGGATTCCCCATCAGCTTTACAAAGAACATCTATTAGGAAGTAAACAATAATTGGGTCTCTTTAGAACATCTATTAGGGGTTAAGTTAAAATTTTGTCATTCTTTAGAAAAAGAAGAATATAACCAAAATAAAAAGGAAAAAAGTCATTTGAATGAAAATGTTTTCATTTGATTGTGGTGGTCCACAGGTTCTTGAGGCTGGCAGTAGAGGCCCCTGAATTTTAGGCATCATAGGTTGGACTCATGGTGGGCGATAATTGACAATATTCTTTTAAAAAACCGAGTGGTGGCCAGTTGGTACGTTAGCTGGGTAGTTCCAGTGGATATGTGGATTCAAGAGTCTCGCTATTACCACTTATCTCCGAGTGTTATTAAAGTGTTGTGGACCCTAGGAACTGCTTAAGACGCCTTGGAAATTAAATATCTGATCTCTCCACCTCAAAGAACTCTAGTGGTGTATCAAAGCTCCAGTACGATGTAGCCTTCTCTGAATTTATTTCTCTACTTGGAACATAGTTTTGTAATAGTAGTTCTTGCGAATGCGGATATCTTACTTACAGTTTGTAGTCCATCTTCTGAATCAAGTGTATGGAAGAGCCACGAGATGATTGTCTCGAGAGGGTAGCAATAAAGAGAAGTTCTAGTGCTAATGAGTCCTGAGGTTTGTGCTACAGTGCTAGTCGATCCAAGATTTCTATCCAGGTTTGAGTTAAAGACTTGTAATTGGCTGGTTTTATATTTTAGCTCGTTTTGACGTTGCTTCCTGCAGACCCATTTATATTATGCTTTTTAAGTGGTCGAGTTACCTTTCTCTCGGTGCTGAATTTTACAACTCTTGCTTCTAGATGCATGACTTGACATCCTTGACCTTTCCAATTTCCTTTCTCTCTCTCTCTCTTTTTAGAAAAAAAAACTTTTTTCACTAGTTTATCTAAAAGGAAGTTGTTGCTTTACGGTGCAGTTGCATGTGGAACATCACTTTCCAGAGAACCCAAAGTACTTCGATATCAGTGACTGATCTCATCCATCTTCTCGGAGCTGGGGTGCTAGGCTGCTAGCTATGTACATACCAACAAAACACCACTTTAAGTTCTTTAGTCATTTCATCTCCGATGGGGCATGAATCCCATTTTTCACCTGTACAGATAAACAGCTTCAATAATTTGTTTATTTTATCTGTAGTTTCCATCAACACCATTTACCTCAATGTTAACTGCCTTGATAAAAATTTTTATCAGAACTTGGGTTTGGGGTCGGTGATGCTCTCCGGGATTATAGACTTTGCACTGTCAACCTCCTGGAAGTTGTCAATTTGTTTGTAGCCAAGAGCTACGGCTGCGGACTGTCCTTGAAGTCGGTATCTAATTGTAAATTGTAATGTGCTAAACTGCTAATGTCTGTATACATATATCATAACTTGGGAAGATTGAGTTGAAGATTCAGCTAAGCTGGTTCAGCTGCTTTAAAGCGCTCTGGATATACAAAGAGGCTGAAGCAGATGACTGAATGCCCGTTCGGGAGGGCTGTGCTGAAGATTCAGTTTAAGCCGGTTCAGTTGCTTCGAAGCTCTGGATAAGATACTTAAAGAGGTTGATGCGGCCAATATGGTTTTTGGAATTTTTACCAAACCTTAGAGTATTGGCTGTGTAGCCCACCTCAGAAAGCCATAAGTCGCTGCATTTCAAACCCCCCTAAATGGGAAATCAATGGCAAGATTAATATTTGGACTGATCATTGTTTTAAAGCTTGGCTTGTGAAATGTTCGATTTGGTTTGGTTTAAATTGAGCTTTGAGTTGAGCTTGAGTCTAATATATATGCTCGTTTGTTAAATGAGCTGTGTTTGAGTCTATTGAAGCTTGGCTTGTGAAGCTCATGAGCCTAATTTAGCTTATGTTATATATATTTTTAATTTTTAAACTTGGTTCACTATTGAGCTTAAGCTGAGCTGAGGTCAAACATATGAACTTAGGGTATGTTTGGTTTGAAGGAAAATGTAGGGAAAGGAAAGGTAGGAGACTTTTACAAATCTTGTATTGGTTTCCCTGCCTTTCCCTTCCTTTCCCTACCTTTTCCTTCATACCAAACATAGCCCTAAGTCAAGTAGAATTCAAGCTCACGTCTAGTTTGAGCCAAGCTTGAGCCTGAATTTCAGCTTTATATATTTTTGCTGAGCTGAGTTTGAATAGCCAAATATTTTGGCTCAGCTTGACTTGGTTCTAATTCATCCCTAGGTGAGGTGCATAGATTTTGCCTCAGGGCTTAAGTCTCACATTTAGTTAGAATGAAGTGTAAGCCTTAAGCTACAAGGTGTGAGGCGAAAAAAAGGTATAAGCCTCAAGTAACAATGATTATTTAAAAGTAAATAAAAAAATATATATTTTATGTATTTTTATAGTTTAAAATATATGTAAAAAAGCATTTCAATAATTATGGGCCAAATAAAAAGAACAAAAATGAAAAACCAATAGGGCAAATCAAGTTTTATTAGTTTTTCTTGGTGTTACAAGAGGGTTTAATGCAAAAAAAAGGCCAGTCAAGTTCTTAATTTCTCTTGAATAAATCAAGTGGGATTTTTCTTTTTATTATTTTAAATTTAATATATCAAGTTTGTTATTATTTTCATTTCTTTTTCTAATTAATTTATTTTTTTTGTATAGATCAAATCAATTAAGTTGTTTATTTTCTTTTAAACTATTGGCTGATCATAAATCTAATAATATCAATTATATGGGTGATTCCTCATAAGTTTCCTTTCTTCTAATTTGGTCATTTAAATACTTTAAGAATTTTACATCTTGAAACAATGAAATGTAAAATATTTATAATTATTAGTTGATCGATTATTATTTTATTTAATGCTTAAAAGTTATGAACTTATATTTCATGGATGTTTGTACCTTTTATTGTATATGAACTTTACAGACGACCAATGGAGGTTGCCACCATGTTCTTATGAATATCAATGTGGAGAATTCACAGATGAACCTAGTTATGAAAACTACGGTGGACCACCACAGCAGTCTAGGCCTGACGGTAGCCAGATTGGTTCAGCCACGGTCCAACAGTGGAGAAACGAGATAGCGGTCTTATGAGTACAGATATGGAGAATTCAAAGATGAACCTGGTTATGGAATCCACATTGGAGAGAGGTGACAACCTGCAATAGCAACTCCTCGACCATTGCAGCAATTGAATCCCTAGTTGAAGGTAACAAATCGGAGCGGAGACCCTCCCAATCTGTGTCAACATATCTGATAGTTCATCGCAGTAAATGGCAGTTAGGTAATTTTACCACCCACGGTAACATCGATTAACAGAGATGGACTTGAGTATATATTTTTTAAAAATTCAGGGTACTTCAATGTCACACTTCAAAATATAGTGTAGTGTAACCATCCTGAAGTATGGAGCCTATCTCTAACTTACTCTTATTGTATTTATTTTCACAGAATCACAGCTAGCCTGCATCTTTTAATCATACCTTGATAAAATTACTCTATCCTGTTACCCTCAACCTAATTTAAAAAGGTTTATTTACTAAAACACCCCCTATAATTTGCAACTGATTTACTTAATTGACTTTTTGTAAAGAATCATTTAGTGTAATTTGACCATTTACACTGAGTGGAAAATGTTCAAGGGCTAGGCTTATGGTATTTTATTCGGAAAGTAATCCTAGCATTTCATATTAAGCTTTTAAAATGAACCAATGTGATTTTTCAGATTTGTTAAACAATGTTTGGTTTCAATAATAGAATGAAGAGGACAGGAGAACAATGGCATCCCTGGCTTCTTAGTTTGCAACGTGTTTTACTTCTTCAAATAGAGAATAAAATTGAACCAAAAGGGTTCTTGTCCTTGTTTTATTAGGGGCAAGAATGACCTTTCCATTTATATATTTTTGTAGATTAAATTTGTTCAAACAGACACTAAGATTAAAACCATCATTTTCCACTTCCATCTTATGAAAGGTAAATAAACCAGTTGCAAGCTGTGAGGGTGTTTTAATAAAACGCAAACTATAGGTAAGTTTTGGTAAATCCATTGAGATTTTTAATAAATGATCCTAAAAATAAAAATAAAAATAAAACAAAAGTTAAGCTGGTTGACAATGGATGTTAATTCCTGAGATCCAGGTATTCAGGCCCTCCGGTATGTTTACACCTCATCACTTGCCAAATTATGAATACTCTTTCTCTAACAAATTAACCAGAATGCCCCTTTGCATTAACGCATTAGAATGATTTGACCCTCCAGGTCCAGGCTCCAACTAAAAGCAACAAATTAGGATTTTCTCTACATAACCTACCATATTGCTGTGACTGGAGGGATAATGTGACCAATCAGCCATCCACCAAGTAGAAGAGTCCGGAGTGTCCACTTATTCAATATTTTAATATTAGCCATTAAATCTTAATTAAAAAGAACGGGTCATTCGAGCTAAGCATCAAAGTATTTTTGGGCTCAAATTTGCCCCTTTAATACAGTACAGGGACAGCGAGAGGAATTCTTGGTGCCATTTCGAGCCCTAAACCCAATTTACCACGTCATAGATTGATAAAATTATAATAGTGCATGTAAAACTCATTCTTAACTACGTTTATGGTAGCAAAAAATGAGGGCGAATCTCAGAATATGCCCGAGGTGAAGAAGATGAAAAATGAAATTCACTAGTCATAGCTCAAATGTGGGAACCTCAGATGTACAGCCATGGGTAGCTTGGTACAATAGCCTGGATAACAGATTCCTGTATGGATCTTTCTCTCTCTTCTCCTTCAAATAAGAAATGCATCTTTCAACTTCATATTTTACATCTAGATACAATTCGTGAGCTCGCTCCCTGTCTCTTAGTTCCAGTTTTCTCCCTTCAAACACAAAACAATGCAAATAAGGAATGACAGCTCTTTCACCTTATAAAAGTTAGGGGATAGTAATAAAATTTACTCTGCTTTTTATCTAGAGGAAAAATGGCAAGACAAAATCTAGGAGAACCAATTAGTATACTACAAATAAGATGGGCAAAATTGTCCCTACAAAATACAGTTCTAGTTATTTTCCTCATCCTTTTTTATTTAAGGTGTTCATTAAAATATGACAGCCATTCAGCTAATGTTATGTGTTATTAGGGGAACAGGTGGGGCAAGATCCTCTCTGCCTGGGACAATAATGACCATTTAAGGGGTATTTGCTGAGTAGCCCAGTTTAGAGAAAACCGTACGTTGTTTAATATTAATTTACTGGCCTGACCTGCTAATCAGCACGGTTTTCTCAGCTCAGCAAATTAATTGGCCTAGGTAGACCAATCAACTTATTATTGTTATATATTTTTCCCTTGAATCCAATTTAAACAATCATATCCACTTGAATTTGCAGAAGATAGGATAAAAGGTGTTTGATACTCATTCAGATAATGGGTGCATACCTTCTGTTTCAATTGGCTTTCCAAACAAGTAGTAAAAACGCCCTGGTAGTTTGGGATAAACTATTGGTAGATGAATGTCTTGGTTTGCAACCTCTCCCCTAACATCAGTCCTATTAACAAAATAAGTGGCAATAAGCTTCTCAGATCAAAATAATCAGAAATAGAGGATCACTGCATTGATAAGAGTGTAACATAGAATCTCCCTACAATCTGAGACAAGCAAAGAGAGTACTAGATACTATAATCATGTTATTGGTGTTGCTGACTAGTCCATACTGGTGGTTGAAAACTCATTTTTATCAATAATGACAAGATTAATAGACACAAAGAAGCAATGCTGCACCTTCCAGTGCCAATATTGTACCAAGTTCCAAAAAAATGAAAGCATTAATCAATTAATGAAAAAGAAAGGTGGTCTTACCACTTAAGAGCATAATTTATTTAATGTGCGTGTCTCTAGCTTTCACAATATTCTGAAATTTTAGTCCTTAATGTTTAATTTATCAATGGCATTTGAAATGTTTGTGATGTGAAGGGAAAAATGATTCTTGAAATCTTTCATATTTCCCCTAGCAAAATAATTTAATTTTTCATAAATTTGTTAAAATAAAGGAAAGTAAGTCATTTATAAAACCTATAAYAGGACACCTTTAAGATTAAAAATGAATTCTTATAAGGATTATCATCACACTATTGTTGAGTTCACTACAAGGATTATTAATCTGTTATAGATGTACTAAAAGCATTGCAAAAATATTTTCTGAATTTTACCCATTTCCAAGAAAGAGAATTACATTTGAAACCGTCTTTTTTTTTTTCGAGGACATTTTACAGCAAAGGGGTGTAATAATTATGTTCAGAACAAACGTTTTAAAATGTTGTCATTTTCATGTTTTCACTGCTATCCTGAAAATTCAGCTCATAGACATGCCACAACAAAGGGGGCACTACTAAAGATATTCTTACTACTAAAAGCAAACTACCAACTCAGAAGGTACTTGGACTGTAGTTGGATTTAATCTACATATAATATGAAAGCTTTGTTAAAAACCAAAATTAGGACTGCATGGCAAGAACAGTTACTCAAAATGACTCAGTACTCTCACAAAATGAAGATGCAACTCTGAATTCCTGCTTCGACTTAAAGCTAATATACTAATTAATTTTTGTATTTTGATCTAAGATATTTTAGAGCACTCGGGACACAATTAAACAAAATATACCAAATTTAAACCACTCCTAAAATTTAATTTAAAAAAGAGCAGAAAGTTAATAACCGAATCCAATGATAGCCCAAAGACCAAAAATAACAACTCGTCAGTTGTCACCAACCTGTATGTTATCTGTACTTTGGCCATTGCTATCTCAAAGCACATGCTCTTTGGTTTTTCTGTTGGGCAGTGCCCCAATGGAGCCAATTCATTAATGGTAAAGTAATTAAACACTTTAGGTTCAAAAATTGTGGCCAAGAACAGAGTGTCAAACTGCTGGGTTGATCAGATTTCTCAATCTCTAATCCTGTAACTTAACATCTACAACAATTCTCCATGCCACTTGGATTCCTATTGATTAGGATATCCTGAATGTATGGGTGGAAGGTTGCACTTCATTCTTCCTTTATTTATCAAAACAAAAAAAGTTGCACTTCACAAGGAGGAAGCTTCAGGTTAATTCATCACCTCACCTCTCAAAACAAGTTATTAGTCTTGTTAATTCTTGCAATCATTGATTGGACCAATTCTTTCTAGCTATTTATCCACTGATTTATCAATGTGAATATGTATAGCCTACTTCGAGGAATTTACCTAATTATTCTAAAAAAGTTATTTTCTCGTGCTCAGTAATAGATTGCAGTATAAAGATTGACAAAAAAAGATTGCAGTATAAAGTATCAGCATTAATGCCATGAATCTAGTAGTGAAGATTGGACAAGGCAAGCAATGTTATAAAGCACCATGGCCTTGTCAGCTACTTTGTTATACTCGTCAATTATGATAAACTGCTATTTATCAATAGTAATATCATGAAACCCATAATTCAGTTGGAGCTCAGGAAGCCAATTCTAGATGCTTTTATTTTTTTCCCAGGTTTTTGCAGGCACCCATGGAATGAATGAAAACCACGAATAGATAATACTGGAAAACCCATTAAAGGATGCATCATAAAGATCTACTTATGCCAGTAAAGTAGAGTACATGCAAGGGAAAAAAACTCATTAGACTATGAAAAAATACCTCAACCTCACAGCATGCTTATTTAGTTCTTCTATTTGGGCCTTAAAGTAAGGGATCTTCATGAGATCATCATAGTCGATAAATACCTGACAATTATGAACATTTACTTTAAAAGTCCAAATATGGATAAACCAAATTATTTTAAATGCAAACAAATCACAGGAAGTTAGCCATGTATATTACCTGGTAGCAAAATCATAAAAATAGAAAAGCATAGCATCTCTTTTCCCCCTTATTAGAAGATAAAAATCAAGTTTCATATTAACATAAATGATCAATATCTTAGTCAAAATGAGCATCAATTCAACCAAACCCAATGAACATGAATCCTGAATCAATTTACATGGCTCTTAATAGAAAACACTGACAGTACATGGTTTGTGTAGTCCACCCTAAATAGTTGGGATTTGGCTGAATTGAGTTGAGTCACGATGAATAGTTGAGGTAATTGGGATTGAACATAATACCTTTTTTGATAAGAAACCGACAAGATGAAAGTATCTATATGTCACAACATTTCCTGAATTTATCCAAGTCCACAGGGGACATGCTACAGGATTCTTTATTGGTTCCATGATGTTCTTTCAGTCCATTGTTGACAGATGTATTGTATGTACTGTACACAGGTTTAGTGCCCACAGGGGTATTTTTGTAATTTTGTAGACCTCTTGTATTGTACGGTCAGTATAGTATAAATACAAATGCTTCACTCGCATGAAGCAGTTCTTTTGAGGCCTTAAGTCTGCAGCCTCTTCTCTTCTCCTTCTTCCTTTCTTCTTCTTCTTCTTTTGCTCAACATGGTATCAGAGCGGAACCGACCAGGCCTGGAAAACAACCAGATGAGGTCTCTCTCCACTGCTGCATAGAAGCTATAGTCCTGATGCTCGAAGACAAGGAAGAGGAAGCATTCTCTAGTGCTGCAGTTAGTCTCCATTGCCGAGTAGGGTTCTGCTACAAGAAGGCTGACTGTTCAACTTCCTAGCGCAGAAAAGGGTTCTGCTACAAGTTTTTTCTTCTTTATCCTCCAGCCCAGGTGCTGGTGACTGGAGTTGCTTGGCTAAGAAGACTGTAGAAAACCATCTCAGATGCACGAAGAAGGGTTCTGGCCTGCAGAGAAGATTGAGCCCATGAGTGTACTACCTATTCACAGTTCAGGTGACCTAGGTACTGAACTGAAGTTTCTCTGTTTATGGTTCTCTTCTTGCACTATTTCGATGGACTGTTAATGTCCTAAAATCTGAGTAGGGACTGTTCGACTGTTTTTTTCCCCTCCTCCGATTGTGTGTTGCTCTATTCAGCTCTCTAAGGGACTGTTGATGAACCCTAAACCCTAAGT